AGTGCCGGATGTACTTGTTGAGGGGATTCCGGTAGTGTCCTGGATGGGGGCAAACAGGAAGACATACAGTATAGCAAATTTTTGAAAGTAGAGGCTTTTAAAATATTGAAAGCAGTAGTAATCTCAAGTCTATTAGTCGGTATCACTAAAAGACGCCTTTGGGACTTCCGTTTTTCACAGAAGAAAAGTTGACATATCCCATTAAAGCTCATTTTCAGTGCATTACGTAGATGTTACGCAACAGTAAAATGTGCAAACAGCAAATTAACTGAGCTTTCTGATAGGGTGTGGACAATGACAGGGTGGACACTTTTGGCTCAGATGTGAGAACATTACCAGCATGGTTCAGTTTGTAAGATGACTGTGTATGGTTTATAACAAATATATTTAAATTCTTGAGAGGTTTTTTTTCTCAAATGATATTTTGCAATGCCAGGGTGGATATGTTAATGTCGACAACAGCCAGTTACACAAATAAAATGATGAAAATTATGAATTGTGTGTAAATAAATACTCGGCCACTAGCCACAGGTTCAGCCTCCATTGAATCAAAAAAAAAAAATGGTGATTGTATGTCATGAAAAACAGAGCGTTTCCTTAAGGGTCAGAATGGACAACAATTCAGCATTATTCTGAAAACAGAACATACATAATCAAATGACTCATTTGATCAAATAACTTATTGTGACAAGTTCAAAGATGAAAAATGCACTTGGTTTTCATGTACATTTTTCATCTATTACGATTTAACCATAATTGATGAGGAAAAAAACAACAACAAACAAGATGGCATGCACGTATCTCGCTAAAAAGGAACTGCCTTCATAGCTGTGCTCAACAACCCCAAGTGTCACAGTGTAATTATTTCTCCACATGAAGAGTGGATGGATGGTGGGCACGAAGGAGAATGGTGCTCGAGCACCTCTACCCGTTTTGTCCCACTGCTTCACACTCCAAAAAGCAGCCTGAATTCCATTTGCACAAAACAAGACCACAACGCGGAATTGTGCTGCACAAAATGACAGCAATGCAACCCTTTGCCGAGCACTACATTGTATTTGCAGGGTCATATTATGGCAACATGCAGGAGGTATTTTCAGTAAATGTGATTCTCTGTAATTACGCCTGAGAGGCGGAATTTCCATCATCAGGAGTAACAATGGAACAGACAGTAGAAAGAGCTAGTTCACTGCTCACGTGCATTATGAAAAATGCAGGTGTTGACATTAAATTTTTCATTGAGGTGAGTATGAGAGGTAAAAACTCTAACTACTCTGGAATATTCTAATTTCTACAAGCAAGAGACATTTATGCCACTTCTGTGAACAGTACATCACTTTGGAATTTTCGCATGAAAGTTCACAACAACCACAAACTGAGCTTTTGATGAGAAATTCCATGCATAAAAAAATGTCTTCAGACCTGACCTTCTTTTTGGTGAATGTTGTTAGCCAAATAGCAAAACTTTCCAAATCATTTTTAAATTACTGTCACAGTATCAATAAAAATACCAATTTGAAGAATTGTTTTTTTCTTTATGTCTGTGTAAGTCATGGTTATCCACAAAGATTAAGTTCAGGCAACATCAAGGCTTATTTGTTGACTTTTCTTTTTCTTTTTTTTTTTTAACTGACACTGCAAGTGACTCCCAAGTGCTGCCCTGGCATGTATCAAATGTTTTACAACAAAAACAAACACACACCAGCAGTATATATGTATGACAAATAATATAAAAATAAACATTGTTTAAATTATACGTATGTCGTTTGCCTAATAGTATCATAGCCTAAGTCATTTGTAATTTACTGTCACACAAAAAAAACAACAACAACAACAACAGCAAAGTGGTTACGAAAAATGATGATTTTGTCTGTGTGTAAGTCATGCTTATTGATAAAGACTGAGTTGAGGCAACTGGACACCTTCTTGTTTGTTGAATCGATTTGTTTTAACGTTAAAAAAAACGACGCTATGTAGTTGACTCCCTGTGCTGCAAAGTCATGTAGCAAGTGTATGACATAATCAGTCAGACACCAGCAGTATATTAAAACATGGAACCATGAAAAATAATCGAAGATGAACAACGTTTAAATGTATTTCGTTGGCCCTTTAAGCATAATAGCCCAAGTCTTTTTTAGCTTACTGTATGTTCTCTTAAGTGTATGTGGAAGTCGTGTTTATCCACAAATAGAGCTGAGGCAAATACAGTACACTCTTCTAGTCGAATTTTTTTAAACGTTAAAAAAAATAAAGGACAGTATGTACTGTAGTTGACTCCCCAGTGCTGCATAATCATGTAGCAAGTGTTTTACGACACAATTAACAACAGTAGAATATTAGAACACTTAAAACAGGAAAAATAAGCGAAAATTAACATCGTTTTCAATAGAATATCGCCCTAAACTTGATTTATGCAGTCGCGTATTGCGTTAGCTGTAGAGTAATATTCCTTAGAGTGTAAACACTTGCGACATAAAAGACAAACTTCACCACAACTTACGTGGGAATTGTTAACATGGAACGTGACTGTTGTTTAAAAAAGTAGACTGTAGAATGACTTTGGCGGCGATTGTGTACATGTAACAGAGTGAGCTCTACGGTAGCATAAAGCTAACGGTCTGTTGAAGGCAGCCACAGTCAGCATCTCCCGTATTCTCACAACAATGGACGTCGGCGAGATGAGTACAAAAATACAACATACACCTGACGACAAGAACGGTGACAACACGCACAGGGACAAGATAAACTTCGTTATTTTTCAACGCGTCTCTCGATTCCGTGCAAGACTTTCCGCCGTATCTCGTTTTCGGGCGAGACCACGGCGAAAAGGGTGCAGTCCCCCGTCACAAAAGCAGGCCCCGCTGATCCCGAACCTTAGCCGTTAAGCTAGCTTAGCTAGGCAGTCTTTCAGCAAGCCCCTTATCCACATCTTTTATCCGCGTAGTTTCCCGCCCCCCTCCCACGAAAACGCGTCGCTCACCTTGAGTGTCGTGCAGCAGGTAAGCAAAGAGGACAAGTTTCAGGAGAAGCATATCGGTTAGCTCCATTGTTAAAGCATTGATGCCGTTTGCACTTTATTGTCCTAGTTAGATAGGCGCAGACGCCCTGTGTGTTTATTGCAGCTTCCACTGGTCGCCCCCTCGCTTCTGCGCGCTGACGTCACGCGCAGCGCAGTTGCTATCCCTTCCCCCGAATGCGTCCAGCATCCCGGACACTTCCATTAGGTACACCGAAACACACTCACTACATCGAATGTAATTTCACCCTTTATGAAGACAAGTGCAGTTTTGAGTGACACTGTAAATTTAAATGATATAATTTTTGCTGTGGTTTGAGATTACAGTACGGGGGATAGGAACCGGGCAGGAAAAGCGAAAATCCACGTAGCCTATTGACGTCCAAAATGCATTGATAAAAAGATAATTTTTTTTAAATAAAACAATTATTGGAAAAAAAACTCAGATAAACCTCCAATAAGCGTTTTCCGAAAATTTAGGGTTGCCCCCCTCAAAAATAAAAAAATATATAAAAAAAGAACTAATCTGCGAATAGTTGAAAACGCAGTTGCTGAAAAAGAACCCGGTGCCTTGAGAGCTTTGGGAGTGAACTAAATAAAATCTCTCGTACATCAATCGGTACTCTCCCCACTACGTCTGGTGTGTTCTCCTGCTCTGTGCCAAATCCTCTGTCTGCCTACACGCAGGCGGCCCAGCCCATTTGCGCTGCCTGTCATTCGTTGCTTAGTAACGGGCTCACGGCACATTTTGAGCAGTTCTGTTCAGAGTTTCACATCACTGCTTTGAAATACAAAAAGCTACTCAGTGATGCAAGGTGTAACAAGAAGTACTCTTGGAAGAAGTTGTCTGTTTAGCCCTGTTCTAACATCAAGGAACACGTGAAGGAGTTGAGGAAGAGGTTGTTTTGCACTTTTTCCCCATTTTTTTCCTCTTTTCATTTGGGTTCACACATGTGTTTAATTTTATGATAGTTATCTTTATTTTAGTAAAAGTGTCCCCAGACAGACTTTGTTTCAGCTGTTACAGCACTCTACAGTAGATACGTGTAATACAGCAGCTCAAATCCAGCCTAGTTTGGTCTATTCAGCCTTGAACATGTCTACACACAAAGTTACAAGTGTTTCCTTTTTTTCTTAAGTAAATTTGTCCCCAGTTGTTAGGCTATTTAATTGAACTATTGTCCTCTTTCAGTAAAAGTGTCTCCAGACAGGCTGTCTTTAATTTACAGCACTTTATACATGTATACAATACAGTAGATCAGGTCTATATAATCAAGTTCAGGCTATTAAGTGTTTCGTAATTCTTAAGTGTTAAAGAACAAAGCTTTAATTTACAGCAGTTTCTAATTATTGGCTATGCTCAGGTTCATGTGACTTCAGTCTATAGAAAAATAACAACGTTCATTGCTAATAAAGCACTTAACCTTTCAGTACGTCTAAATGCTTTCTTGACTTCTCCTTCCTTACTGACCTCCAAGTGACCCTCGGGCCCAGAGGCTAATATAATATGTTAAATAATGTCAATTCAATCAAAGCATTTAGTTTTTTCATATAAAAATACAGGCGATTCTATGCATTTCAAGGTTTTGGGGAGTGAAACCCTCACATTTCTTTCATCCATGTGGTTTTGCAACACCGCCATGAAGAGTGTCCCTTATTTCCAGATCTGAAAGGTGGCAACATATGCTAGCATTAATAATGTCATAATTTCTTTGACATCTGTGTTGGTATTTGTTTCAAGCTGAAATATCTGGGCCACAATGTCAGAACAGAAAAACACCCTCAGCTTTGTGTGAGCTGTGTTTATCTCGAGCTGAAAGCTTTTTGTCATCCAGGCTGTTTTGAGTGATGATGCTCCTTTTTGTTGGAAACAGTAGTTTCCTAGATAAATAATGGCACTAGGTAGCACATTATCCTCCACTTTCACCCTGCAATTCATCCAGCTGAGATAAGCAGCACAGTGTAGATTAACAAAATAGAAAAAGGCATTGAGGCATTTTATTTCAGTTTGTGATTGTTTCTTGAATCACTTTGGTCTGCAGTTTTCTCTTTTTTATTCCACACAGGATCCTCTTGCTCCGGTGGCCACCACATGACACACCTCCACATCAGCACCCAGTTTTTGCAGCTCATCCAGCCAGATCTGTTGCTTCTGGGACAGACGATCATTCGGACCCTTCACCTCCACCAGCTAAAACAGCAAACGTCACTGACTTGAAGCAATCAGGAATCCCAGTTTTTACAACTATTATACACACCACAGCATTTATACATGCAAAGTGTGGAAGACCCCACCTTGTAAGTGTTATCACATGTATTCCATACGACAAGGTCAGGCAAACCTCCACGACAGTGCCTGAAGTCTTTTGCCATCCGTGCTGTAACTCCTGCTAAGAAGGCTCCACCCAAGCATGACACGAGAGACTGCCAAATAAACACCACGGATTCAATTATCATGACGTGACACACAATATCCTTTTGTGAGTGCAAAAGTAGACATCATTCGCAATGCGTGACTTTAGGACATTTTAAAGCAAAGTACCTGGGCTTGACTCAGCGAGGAAAATAGCTCCCAGTTGGCACATGAACACACTTTACCCTTTTGGGAAGTCCATACATCCTCCAACATAACGCGCAAGGTTTCTACAGAAGCCTCACTAATTAATTGTACACGGTAATCCACTGCTTCTTTTCGGTTCTCATAGAAACAATCAGTGTGAAAGTCCAATGGGCATGCCTGTGACAGAAACAGAAAAAATGTCCAAATAGCCTCGAAACATTATTGCTTGTTTGTGCATATTATACCTGGTAAAGATTTCGGAAAACATCTGGTATGCCGTCCATAAAAATGATGTCCCACATCAGAAGGGCAAAAAGTGTTGAAAATGTTGAGCCCTCTCCATGGATTCCTGTGAAATTATAACAAACTTTTTTCACTTTTTTTTTTGTTGTGTTGTTTAAGCAAATGTTTCTCCCACCAGCCCCTCACCCTTCCTTCCTATTATGGTGCACCCGCAGAATTGGACGTGGTGCCACCCCTGTAGGCTGCAAAGTCTGCGCTCAACAGGTTGGATAATAATGTGACACCCCCCCCCCCCCACCACCAACCTCCATATGTGCTCGTCTTGTGTCGGGCATTAATGTACACCTGTTTGCGGAGATTATTTCCCCCCACAATCCATCTTGTGCTCCCCTTACAGGATCTCATTACGTTTTTTTTCCCCTCCCTGTCCACGATATTTATTTTTCATCTGCGAAAATGGGCCACTGTAAAATGTGACCCCGCGGACTCCTGTTCTGCATCCCGCTGTTGGTCATTGTTTTTCTATGTTTCTGTGCTTGGTCATGTCTGTTCCAGCATTACAATCTGTGGTAAAATGACAATAAAACTATTCTGATTCTCAGATTCTGATTGTTCTAAATCCTAAAGTCTATGTCGTGCTGATGCTTACCTTGGTCAAAGCCTTGCTGGCGGTAATGTGCTAAAGACAGGTCTTCCACAGAGCATATTACAGTGCCATCAGTACAATCGTCCGTATTTGATGGTACTAGAAACCGCGATTTCCCCGTGCCCCCTTCATGGGGGAACAGTTGTCCTCGGATGGTCACCTGCAGACAACGATCCAAAGTTTCAAACATGTTTATGACAGGTTTTAAAATGTACTTTCAGCTACATAGTGAAATAATACCCACATGTCTGACATCCTGGACATCGACAGTGGGCAGATCTCTGAGCTGCAGACGGTACTTCTTGAAGCTGGCAGACTCTCTCATCCGAGAAGCTCTCTGGTAGAGGGACAGCTTATGTCCCGTTCGCACGAAAGGGTCAGACAAACCATCTCTGATAGCACAGATAGCCTGCGGGGCATTTGAGGTGACAACTCAAACAGCAGCGTGACAATTAACAAGGTTTTAAAAAAAATGAAGCCTCAACTACATGCACTGACTTCTTCTGTTTTTTTGAGGTGCTGTTGAAGGTTCAGGGCCAGTCTGTCCCACCAGCGCCCTCGATTGTCAGGACAGTAAACATCCTGCAGAAGTAAGCACCGCAACTCGTCGACAGCCTCCTAGGATTAAAAAAAAAAAAGACTTTGCTATCCACAGCACATGATAGATAAGTTAAAAAATACTTGATCAAATGAGACAACCTCATAACGACGTAGCCTCTGTAAGATCTCCACGCCTCTTGATAATATCCGCGTGTAGGCCCATCCCGTTGTGAAGCTGCGTAGGAACACTGGGAGCTCCTTTTGGTGACTAGCAAAAACGCAACATGGCAAGTTTGCCACAATGACAATGGACGCTAAGTACACTTGCACAACATGATGAAATTAAATATAAGCTGGATCAAAATTTGTTTTTCTAGTATTTTATACCGTTGTACAGGACTTACACTGAGAAGTGTTTCTAATATTTTGGTAACTAATTTAGCTATGAGAAGGGCAAAATAGTAAATGCCGAATTTCTGCACCACTGCAAACTCGGGCTGAAAGATAATAACCACCATATGGTTCAATGAATAACTTTCTGAAAGTGTATTCGATCTCACTGGACTCTGTAGATTAAAAGTCAACAACATGGTAGCCCTTTCGCATTTATCAGTATTCAGGTAGTAGCTTTTTAAAAAGGTTGACATCACCTCTGGTGTAGATGTTGTGGCTAGTGAGCGCATGGCATTCAAACAAGTTTATCAAATTAGCCACCAAAATAACCTCACTGAAGAGTTCAAGATTACTTTTTCCTATCAGATCTTAAACAATGCCGGTCCAACCTGAGGTCACAACTCATCTTCAGGTCCTGCCATTCATTCTTGGCTGATCTATACAGGTCCAGAGCCTCTTCCCAATGACCAGCTTGCATAGCCAAGGTCACCTCCTGCAAGGCTCGGATAGATGCTTCATACCTGAGAGGATTCCCACAGCAATGAGAACTGAACGGTCACACTCAAACTACCTCGGACCACACAATTGGCTCACTTGATGAGGTCGTCTCTCTCCCGGTACACCTTCGCCATGCGCTGCACTGTGTAATCTGGGAAGGCCAGTCGCCCTGAATTGACTAGCAGGATGGTATAAAGCTGGCTTTGCCCAGCTGCTGCCATCTCCTCCTCATCCATCGTGTCTGTCAGGGAGAAGAGCAGAAGGATGCGAGAAAAAACAGCCCGAGGAGCGCTGTGCAGACGCACACAGGAACCTGCGAGCTGTTTTGCCCTGTAGGAGTAGAACGAAAGTGATGACATCATGATTTCAGTTCAACTAAAATGTGTTGTTATTATTATTATTGTTATCTCACCTTTTCAAGATGACAGCTCCGATGTTTTGAGCATGGCTCGGGGAGAAGAGAGACTTCTGCTTGCTCAGCCGCAGGAGCCCGTCTACTAGCTGTTGTTTTTGAGTTCCAGAATTGCCCAGATGAAAAGTCTTCGCCAGCGCTTTGAGGTCAGGGGCTGGCAAGAGATCAAAGGCTTCTTCTATGTTGCAGAGGTCATTCTCTTAAACAAAACAAAACAAAGAGCAATTTTAATACCCCGACAGGAAGCAAAGATATAAATAAATAGAAATATTTTGACTGCTTCCACTCCCCTGGTAGACTTTCTACAACATGTTGAGGTATGTCTCTTGTCTTCCAGGAGAACATTTGTGAATTCAGAGGTCAGTGATATCAGCACAATCATTGGCCTGGCTCACCATATCTCTTCTCATTCTTCCCAAATGTGTTTGTGGTACCACAGCAAATTGTAATCATATCTTGAGCAGTAATAGCAATTACCTGTCTGCAGAAGACCCCTTTGCACCAACTCCTGAGCAACAGGACCCAAATCACTACTTATTTCTTCATAGTCCAGTTTCTCCACTTGAATCCACTTTAGTTTCCGCTGAAACAGTCTCACATATAACTTCTGTGCCATGACTTCAAAAGACAGGGACAAATATTTGTTAGAAACAAAGCGTTGCAGAGGATTTTTTATACTTCAGCATACCTGAGAGCTTCTCAAAGGCTTGCACGAGCGTCATGTCATCCTGGTTGAACAGGGCTCTGTCGTCCTCGTTCTCTAGCACGGCCTGCAGGACAGTCTGGAAATTGCGTAGGTAGTAGGGCAGTCTTTGAGGGGGTGAGGTGTTGCCTGTTTGGTCACTGGTGCTTTTCTCAGGCACACACACTGTATGTAAATTGCTGCTGGTATTGTCTAAGATTGAAAGGGGGTCATCATCCGCAGGAGAGGGCATTTTGGGTTCAAGTTCAACACCATCTCCTGTTTCTTGACCAAACGATACTTCCGTCGAGCTGGTTACTTCGTGTTTTGGCTTCTTTCTTAAATTAGACACCTTACCTTTGACAGGTGTCTCCTTCTTTCTTTTAATGGGGTTGGAGGAAGAGGAGAGGGACACTTTTAGCCCAGTCTCCAAGTCTTTTCCCGAACTTCCTGCTGTTGTTGTACACATCCCAGCATTGGTCGTTAACTCAATGGTTCTTTTTGAATCTCCGTTGGTTCCTGAAGCCTGGCTGGCAAGAATTTCTGTCTGTGAGATGCTAACATCATCCAAGGTGTCTTTATTCGGATCAGAAAATGCGTGTTTAACATCTGAGTGTGTTCTCTCATTTGTCTTTTCGCATGTTCTAGATAACTTGGCAGAGAGACTTCCAAGTTCAAGCTTTCTGACTACAGTCTTGCTGCTTATCTCCTGAGAGACATTCGGAGATGTTCTCGTCTTGAAATAAGGACTTGTCTTAGTTTCTTCTTTCAGCTCCGGATCGAGCTGTGGGGACCTGGAGCAAGTCCTGCTCGGTGACACGACATTACTTGCTGATGAGGCGTTGCTGTCTGTTCTCTCAAAGTTCTTGCACTGCAAATCGATGTGTTCATTGATCTCAAATCTGGGAACCGTCTGACCACAAAGTGGGCAGGACAGTTTGCAAGGCTGCGGGTTGCTAAAGAACGATGTGATCGGTGTCGTGTTGACAGCGTGAGCGCTGCTTCTCTTCTTGTTCTTGGATAACGACAAACCCCGCCTGGCTTTGTGGTTATCTCCTTTACCTGTCATGGTCGAAAATTAAACAAAAATGAAAAATAAGGTTTCAAGCATTTTTCCGACAACTTCACGTGACGTACTCGCTGCTAACTCGCACATTTCAAGACATCGTCGATGCTAATTTAGCCCCAAAAGGTGATCTGACAGGGTTAAAGACGCGCAGTCAATGTGCGCCTGCAACAGAAGTTAACGCAATGTCAACAAATAAACACAATTACAAAAAAGACTTAGTGGAAGAGCCCGAACAGGTACTGTCCTCCGATTTTAGCAAAAGTGCTGCATAACAAACCCGCCTGTCAGACTAGACTAAACAAGCAGAAGAAGGAAAAATTTTAGACCATAGGAATCGAGCCCAAACGCATCGATATGTTTGCCGCCCTCCCGTGTATTACTTGAAATATTTCGACTTTTATTTATGGAAGCTCGTTTTCGCAAGCAATAATAATTTTAAGGAAAAGTACAATTTTGTAATTTCCTTTTTCGGGGAAACGGGACACAATTCACATTGGTTTACTGCTGTTTAATACTACTACTAAAAAAAAAAAAATAAGTATCATAAGTATAATAATAAATATAATCATCATTGTTGTTATTCTTCTGTTTTTCTTCTTCTTCTTCTTCTTCTTCTTCTTCTTCTTCTTCTTCTTATTATTATTATTATTTGTAACGGTTTTCACCATTGAGTCTTAAAGTGCTCCTGGTCAAAAATGATTTTGAAAGCATAATGTAAAATAAAATAAAAATGTTGTTTAGTTTACTGTGACATCAGTAGTCAAAGGCTGTCATGGAAGTTCACTTTTAGATCCTCAGGGAGACCAATTCTACACATAGCCCAAGCGTTGTTATCGTTGGACAGAGTATCATTATTATGAAATAGTGTGTCGTAATTATGATTTAGTATCTCGTTATTAAATTATTTTACATGTGCAATTGAACATGACGAAACGAGGTAAAATAATGCATAGTGCCCCTTACCACAATTTATTCATTTATCTATCTATTTATTTATTTGTTTCTTTTTTACTTTGCCTGTTTTTTTAAACTGCAGGAAACGGCTCCATAGTCATAAGTACTGTTTGACTGTTGTACTATTGTAGCGACTGTTGATTGTAGTTTGTTGATTTTTCTGAAACTGCAGACAACTATACCAATTAGACTACATCATTTACGGTCATAGAATTAACCACTTTGTATCTGTGTTTTATTATGTGCAATTATTGAAATATTAAATTATGTAACGTTAAATTATATCACGTGTGTGTTCTGCATAATGTCAATGTTGGGTGACTTGCTGTGATCACGTGACACAGACCGTATCTTCTATATACAGGTTCCTGGGTTGCTGTGCGTGTGCGGGTTTTATTAAAAAAAAAAAAAAAAAACTCACCACCCTGGATGGTAATTTGATCGGAACAACACACACTTGCTTGCTTCAAAAAGGGAGGACAACCGACCCTACCGATGACAGTAAGTGCGCTCTTGGATGTTTACAATTATATTTGGGTGTCGGCCTCCGCTGATTTGATAAGAGACAAAGCTGGACGTGCTCATCTGGTAGCACATCAGTGTGTCAACATGGTGCAGTCTTGAAATCAAGGTCGATGTGCAGTTTTTCCTGAGAAGAATTAGTTCGATTGGTGAACGCTAATAAGTGCGTGTCGGGCCTCATCCACATGCACAAACACGTCTCTACAATATTCAAATGTCGTATAATGCGGCGTTCACTCCATGGCGGAGCGACCACAACAAGCATCCCCTGCAGTTGCGGCAAAAGTTCGCCATAAAAGCGGTTTAGAAATAGCTCAAGGGCGGGATGAAATGCTCACACGCTTTTTGTAATGCGCGTTTTGGCTTTTTAATTTGCTTTTCAGCACCATGGAGAGATCAATTGAAATGGGAGGATCCCTCTCGAGTGATCGGATTCGATAATCATGATTTCATCACATTTGATCAGAATAAAATATGTCGGGAGGGGGGTTAATTAGGAGTAATCAGTGTCCTTATCCTAATCATCTCGTCTGCAATCTGAAGACCCGTGTTATTGTGGTGTGTCGTACACTGTGCCTGTTGCCATTGCTTTAGTTTTGCACACAAGTAGCTGTCAAATCATGTGATAAAGCCATTTATAGCCTTAATATCTAATTACACTTTACATTTATTATTTAGCCTTCTAATAGTTAAGGAAAATTAGTCGATTTGAAGTTTTTTTTTTACAGTGAAACTACATAATTAAACTGTCTTTTATTTTGGCAGAACGGTGCACCAATGGATAGTATGTCTGCCTCACAATTCTGAGGTATGAAGTTCAAATCTTGGCAATATGGCCTTCCTGCCTGTGTGGAATTTCAATGTTCTCTATGTGCTTGTCAAATTTTGATTTCACCATTCATTCCTTAAGCAAAAACAAAAGGCATTGATGTTAGGTTCACTGAAATTCTAAATCACAAGGGTCAAACTTTCATATAGCCTGTGAAAGCAAATCTTGTGCACCAACTTCTGATTCTTGCTAACATCTCCCAAAATTTCAGATTTTCAAATATAATGCATTAAAATCTAGAGCTTTTCAGCATTTACTTTTTGTTACCAAGCCACTTTTTACAGTAACTTGAACAACTGTTGTCCTTGACATCTGATTTCAAAATGAGTTATTCATCAATTTATTGTGAAAAAAAATCTATCTATCTATCTATCTATCTATCTATCGATCTATCTATCTATCTATATACAGAGAGAGAGAGCGAGAGAGAGAGAGAGAGAGAGAGAGAGAGAGAGAGAGATTGATATTATCTACAATTAATTATCTTGAAAAGTTCGAATTAAATGACTGAAACTTGATGCAGTTTTTACATTGGATGACATTATCTTTTGCACAGAGTGTACCTAATGTTGCATGTATGGGGAAAAAAAAACACTTGTAATTTCCTGTACAGCTTGCAGCCATGGCAGAAGGAGATTGCAGGATGGAAATTTATGAATCAAATGTCATTCACAAAGAGTGCTTTTCACGGTACCTAATGCAAGAATCTCAGAGAGCTTTGTTGTTTTTTTTTTTTTATGTTCACAGGGTTGAGAGCATCTGAATTAATGAGCCAGTAATGGCTCATGGAAATAGGCAAGACACACTTTCCTGGGGGAGCTAAGCAGAACCAAGCAAAATCAGAAGAATTTGGTGAGGGGGTGGCTGTCCGTACAATCATCCTCGACATTGAAGGATGATATCAACGACCAGCTGACTCCTGCCATGCACTCCCATATGAGTCGCGAACCAAGAGGCGAAGACATGGAGGACACATGCTCCGAATATGACAACGTGGGCTCTGACGTGGAGCAGGATTATGACGAGGTGCTGCATTTAAAGAAGGAGGGCGGCATGGACATGAGGTACCTCAAGCAATACTGCCCAGAGGATGGAGGCTACGTGAAGAACATAGGTCGTAAAAACGCAAATGAGAGCAGCGGTACCGCTGACCAGTTCACAGCCACGTCTTGCCAAAGCACAGAAAGACGTAATGGATCACAACCGGACGCTAAGCCCCGCAAGGCAAGCCGTCCCTTGAGGTCTCGCTGCACCCCCGTTGCAAGGGAAGCAGGGGAAGGGGAAGAAGTTGGAAAGGGCCTGGAGAATAGGCTCTTCTTTTGTGACGGGGATGAAATAGAGCAAGTGTTGGATGGGGCCAGATTTATCGAAGATTTAGAAGACATAGAAGCCAGTGATCAAAGACAGGGTGTCCCTTACCAGGATAATGAAAGGATTAGAAAGGGCCGTGATGAGAGAGACAGAGAAGACAACAGCACAATTACAAGAAACTATACCATACCAGGAGCAAACAGAAATTGCGAGTCATCTCAAATGAGTTCTAAGGAAAGACAAGGGAAAGGACGAGGGAGGAGGGCAGCTGGACAGGATATTGAACAGATTACCTGTGGGGTTAAAGCTTGCACGACCAACAAAAATGAGCGAGTGAAGACATCATCCAAGGAAAACAGAAAGGCTCCTGTGCGGACCAAAGCGAAATCCAGCAAGCAACACCCATTCCCTCGTCATTCACACGGCCAAGCACCTATAGACAGCCAGAAGGCCCAACCTCGAAGAGAGGCTGCTTCTGTTCCCAGACCCAGCGCCTCAAGTAACACCCAGGAGAGTGAGCCGAGGGTCGTCAAGCCGTCCCCGGCTCTCTGTCACGTGCCTGAGCAAGAGCAAATGCCCCCTGGGAAGAGTCAGAGCCAGCCACAGAAAGTCCAGCAGGTTAGTAAGAGTCATTTGGAATGGGATGAAATGCAATAAAATAGAATCGAATGGGATTCAAATGAATGGAATGGAATTTATTCAATGAAATTCACTTAGCAGTTACAACCTGTCAGTGGCGCCAAAGGATACCTCAATTGTCTTCAATGAAAAGGAAAACATAAAGGACCGGGAACGGAAAAAAACAACATTCCCAAACTTTGTTCCCATATAGGAGGGACACAGTATGAGTTTGGGGAAAAAAGACCTCTTACAACAGCCACATGAGTAGGAGACATAAACAACAAGATTCAAATATTTGCATGTTTTTTCCAATGGCAGGAAGAGAAGCCAAGCCCCACCGTGATGCAGGAGCAAGTTCCCGAACAGCCGAGGAGGCCTCAAAGTCCAGATCTCCTCCCAGATGATGAGAGTTCATCCCCCAAGGTTAAAACATCAAATACTTAAAAAAAAAATACCTCTCAAAATTCGTCACTTGGGTGTTTTTAGAACCATACAATGGATACAGAAAGTGTACAAACCCTTGTGTAAATACCAGAATATATAAAACATAGCAATCTGTCCAATCATTTTAATGCATAGATAAATCTTGTGTGTACATGTAAATAATAATCGCACATGTATGCACACAGTGTGCTTTTCTCCATATATAGTGCAGTTCTGTGATCATTCTGAGACCTTTTCACAACAGTGTGAAATATCACAATAGTTAAGTGCACACAATAGTATATCAGTTAACTGATATAATTAATGGGATCCATCCATCCATTATCCGAGCCGCTTTATCCTCATGAGGGTCGCAGGCGACTGTTAAGCACGCTCGCATCACAGTGCAGAGGTCGGGGGTTCAATTCCGGCCCTGGCCTGCGACCCTTGTGAAGATAAGTAGCTCTGATGATAGATGGGTGGATACCTTTGAAGAATTCACTGAATAATTTTTTTTACTGCTTTTCAATGTTGTTGTCCATTCGATTGGTTATTCACAACCTGAGTATCTTTGGATATGATAACTGGTTTATTTATTCTTTTTGTATTTCTTTATATTGGATTGGATTTTTAGCCTGAGATAA